CCCAGCCGAAACCAGGACAATGTTCCACTTCAATCCATATTCTAGGGAGATAGCTCAGTTCAGCGCAGAAGACACCCGTTTGGATGGCAATTGCTACCACTCAGCCATGTGATTTTGGGCATGCTATCAAAGCCTGTACTTCAGTACAGAAGTTCTACCACTATGAGCTAGAATCCAGTAGAGCCTTTCCAAGAAGATGACCAACTTCTGGTTTTTGAACTAAAATGGGAGTCTGTATTAAATTAAGCCCTGAAAATTTAAAGTTTCAAAGGGAGATAAGGCTGATCTTGTGTCATAAATTTAATGAAGAAAATGAGAAACTGCTCTGATATTAATTCCAAGAACAACATGCTTAATATAAATATACTAATTATTTTCTGGGGTTGTTTGTTTTCAAAATATATCCCAGGACAGAACCTTCTACTGCCAGCTAGAACTCCCATCTGTGCAGTGCTACAGAACCTTATGGAGTGCAGTCAGTGCGAGTTAGCTTTGCGGCTAATAGTCTGTTCATTTGGATCCTGTCTTCAGCATGGTATATCAAATAACATGGATTTGCCCCTGAGTGAAAAGGTATGGCAAGGATGATGCTGAATTTTGCTGAGAGTAAATCTTAGAAGTATACCAACTATTAGCAAGTTTAAAGTAGTTATATAAGAATTTGACAGGCATGGGAAAGCCTATCACCATGAGCTTTTAAAAATTACTACCACTTGATCAGATGTTGAGTCATTTTGTGAAAGGAGCTGGTAGTTTCTTCCTTACTTTTCATGGTCTTCTGTTTCTTTTTGTAAAGTATGTTCAGAACTAAACTTCTCATCTCTGCAGGGAGGCCAGGAATAAAATGAATGTTAATAATGGTTTATTATGTTCTTTCACATTGTTTTATCACTGGTTAGTATGGGAAAAATTACAAGTCGAATATTCAAGAGACACACAGTTCAAAAGCACTGGGAGACAGAAATCCTAGAGGAGATTTTGTAAGACCTTAATTAAATCTGAAAATACACTTACTATAGTACCTCCTATTATGCTATAAATGACAAGAGAAGTTGAAGGCTTAGAATTTATTTTTAACTGTGCTGTCTTTTTTTTTTTTTTAATAATAGCTACATGATGGCAATATGCTAGCTGAAACCAAAAGCTTTCTCATTGCTATGAAACAGAAGTCTACTTCATTAATTATGACCACTATCCTGACCTTACTACACAAGGTAAGAATGCTCTGAAAAGGGTAAGAGCGAGATCCTTTCTTCTCCTCTATCAAGAAAGGTGCTACCCTTGCTATTGCAGAAGCCCATTCTGAAATTGTCCTGTGGCCAAACACCTCGAAACCCACACATTCTGGAAAAATCCCTTCCTTCGCAAAACCACAGAGAAGGTGAAGGGAGGTGCTGACAGTATTGCAGTGATGGGAAGGGATTGGGTTCCACAGCCTCATGCAATACCAGAAGGGGGCATGGGTGGGCTGGATGCCCTGACAGCGTTGGCCTCTGCAGTCCCAGCTGCCCTGCCTCCTACCGCAGATGGAGCACGTGTTTCTGAACAGCCTTTGAACAGACACCACCTTGCTGGTAGCCACATGTTGTAGCCCTGGCATATCTGAGCCTCTTATGGACTATAGCTCTTTGATCATACACTAGTTGCTCTACCTGAAAGGTTATGTACAGTGGGAGCTTCCTCTTTGTGGGATCCTTGAAGGAATCTTAAATTACAATAATGGCCTTTATGATCTGTAGGTTATTCTCTTCCTCATTTTCAATCCGGGTTTCATTTTAGATTTTCTTCTAGTTGAGGGGAGTTTTTTAAAAAAGCTGTCTGCAAAACCTGCAATATACCATCTTCTAAGGCAGTTTAGACCAAGGAAAGTTACTTTTACACTGGCTTTAGTATATTTAGATTTTAAGTTCTAAAACCTGAAATGCATTATTATTATTCTTTTTTTTTCCCCTCTAATTTAAAGGCTCGATACACCTCTAAATGACAGAGTACTTTTTATGTGTTATACTTCATACAGAGACCTATTAAAATAAATTCCTAAAGTTTATAACTTTTTCTTTTTTTTTTTCTTTTACCCTCCCCCCACCCCCCAATAAAACACAGGTGTTCAACTGCCGTCTCATAGACCAGAACCTGGCATTGGGTTATTGCACAATTTTGCCCAAGGAAGATATGTTCAATAAGCTGTGGGATGTCATAAACAATACATGGCAAAATTACAGAAAAGTTTTGGTAAATTCACAAGGCAATGTATTTCTTCAGCAAATAGAGAATGTTAAAAAGTTTCTTTAAAAAAAAGACATCAGCATTATCATATGGAAGTGCAATAGTTTGCCATTATTAAAGGTGTAGCTGTTTGAACAAGTTCCTCATTTAGGACACCACTGAGAGAGAAGCTACCTCTCTTTACCACAGTGTAAGACTGCGCACAGGCAGTTGCTGTGAATAGTTGGCATGATGTAAATCCAAGTATTAGGTTACCTCATCACAACTTGTTCCAAAGCTTGAAATTGTTTATTTCAGGTCCCACCATAATTTATACCTACATTATATTTTGGAGAAATTTTTCTCTGTCAGCAGTTGTCAAGAATCGAATGAATAAATAAATATGTCTATTAAAATATAAAGGAAGATGGGAAGTAAAGCATAACAAAGAAATGTGGAGGTAGAGTGACATAAATCTGGAGAAAAGATGATGTCTAAAAAATACCTTTTATATTAGTTTCAGTAGTATGATAGTAACAAAAAATATTTTTGAGAAAGAAACTCAATTTTAAAGTAGCTTTGAACTGCTGACTCAGGAGGTGGCATAATTCTGATACTACCTCCTGTGAGGTTTGTTTTCATTTTACAGAGCTGTGTGATGATGCATGAATTGTTTTAAGTTCCTCTAAGGATTTGGACCTTAGGAAGTGAATACTAGCATAATAAATAATCTGAAAATTTGGGATCCTTTCTCACTCCTTTTAGGCAGTAGCTCTGGTTGGAGCACAGCTTGCTAACCAGTGTGGTGAAGCAGAAGAAAAAAAAAAATTCCAAGAATTGGTTACTGATGCAGAATGGGGTATCCAACTTGGTAAATTTGGTGTAAGTTTAGATTTTTTTTCTTTTTTTATTTATTTATTTTTGAGTTTTATTAACTGATTAAATGTCAGTATATTCTGAGATGTATTGTGATTTTTAAAAATATTTCCCATTCGAATGTAAGGAAAGTTGGGGTTTTCTTTTGGTTTTAATTTTTCATTCTGTTTGCTTGCTTAAATAAACCTCAGAAACTGAGAAATGCAATAACTGAGGGTGCTATAAAAGAACTTCTAAGTGCTTAAGTGTTATTTGGCACAGGGCATAGTAAGCAAATGCACTGCTTTTTCCTGCTCTGAAAATCTCTGGGTTGAAACTAAAGAAAACATAAAACATTAACTATAAGGAATTAGTCTGGATATTGTCGAAAATACTTCTTTGGGAAGAAGATAAAATGTTTATTTATCTGTAGATTTCTTTCGAGACTGTATTTAGACAACCGCCAATAAGGAAGAAGGAACTCATAAGAACACTGGTACAAAATCCAAAAGTAGACACAGATCTCATACTGAATTACTGCAGGTAATAACTGAAGCACATCAGTTGTGTTTAATTGTTGCTGTAATAATAACCATGCCTATTGAAATCTATTTTAGTTTAAATAGATCCTGATTAATGTAATATGCAAATTGTTTGGGGGTTTTTTGTTGTTTTTTAAAGTATTAATCAGAATACATACTAGTCTGGTGAATTTATTCATAAGGAAATAAGCACCTTGATGACATCAAAGGTCACAGGCAAAATAATATTCTGTCCTCTTTTAGTACTTTCATGCTGGACAGTGATGCCGCACTGCAGCTTTGCATTGAAACACTTCTTCTCCAGAATGCTAATACAAATCATGTTGAAGATGACTCTGCAGAATGCAGTGGGAAGCAGCCTCATTCCACATTACTAGCTAGAGCACTAGAAATAATTCCTCTACTGAAAAGCACAAAAGACCTGGTCACTAGCCTCAGTGGAATATTGTACAAGGTAAAAAAAAAAAAAAGAAAAAAAAAGACAAAACAAAAAAACCAACGCACCAAAACTAGCAAAAAGAATTCCTGAATATGCATCTAGTCTCAAATGTCACTTGAAGGACAGATTAATAATTCCACAGAAATTAGAAAAGGTTATTTTTTTCCAATTTTGCTAAAAAATGTAAATATTAAGTTTCAGTTTTCTACTTCTTTAGGGGAAAAAAAAAAAAACCAAAAACCCCCACGGAACGACATATCTAATTTCCTTTAAAGACAGGTAGAGTCTTTCTTCCCAACTTCCCTTAAAAAACAACCAGAAAGTAATCAAACAAAAAAGTAACTTCTAAAAATCATAGCACACTGGAAATATTTTGAAGTGCTACATTAAAAATAAATAAGGGCAAAAAAATCTGTATCTTCAGGTTTTTTGGTTGGTTGGTTTTTGGTTTTGTTTTTTAGGGTTTTTGAGGGGGTTTTGGTTTTGTTGGGTTTTTCTTGATTTTTTTTTTCTTTTCATCACTTCATGTTTGGTTTTTCTGCAATATCCTGACAATTTTTTCAGGATTTAGGACAATGAAGTGGAAGTCTTTTGTTTTAGAGAAGTATGTCACAATGCTTATACTGTTTCTTCAGTGTTATGTCAATATAGCTGGTGTTAAAATTGGAAAAAATTAACTCAGTTGTATGTTTTTGCAAGACAAATCATGCGAGGTCTTATAAAATAGATTCTTATTTTGAACAGCTTGATCCTTATGACTATGAAACTATTGAAATTGTCCTGAAAGTGATACAAAATGCTGATGAAAAGAACACCAGTATCCAGCTAAATCAGGTATGTCCAAATACGTTGCTGTTACCTTGCTAATGGCATCTGTATTGTTTCTGTCTATTAGTGTAGTTATTCAAGAGTCTGTTGAAATTAATTGAATTATTCTATCTACACAGCTGTCATTCAGAAAATAGCTTTCAAGAAATGGTGTTCTCTAGCTGCTTCTCAGCAATGGCTTATAGCAGAGATAAAAACTCTACAGATGTGTACCAACTCTGCCAAGAAAAGATGTCTCCAGGACTTAGGCGTGTCTACTGGGGGGGGCAGGGAGAAATACAGTGGTCTTATGGCTTTTTTGCTTTTTCCTTGCATTTTGTTTCTTCTTATTTTTCTTTTTTTTTTCCCCCCCCATAGGCTTTGAGCCTCCTCAAACATCTGGAATCTTATAAAAGAATTTCTCCACCTGTAGACCTAGAACACCAATATGTTTTAGAGCATGTGATTCCCTTATCTCCAGCTGCTCAAACCAGACTGCCCTTTCATCTGATATTCTTTAGAACTGCACAGTGTTTCTGGAACATTATATGTACGTTCAGTATTTTTTATGGCTAGATATATGTATGATTCCCTTTCTCTGCTATCTGTGAACTTTAAAGTTCTACAGTGTGTATTGTATATTAATTGTAATTCTTTATTAATGCAGTTTTCATCCCAAGTACTTCTGAAAGCACTTGTGCTCCCAAATTGCTACTGGTGAGGTAACTGGCTTTCAGTGGAGCTAAGACAGTATATACGATGCAGAATTCTGTCCTCAAATTCTTTTCTTAGGACCTCTCAAAGAGCAAAGTAATCCACCTATCCCACTTCCCAGGCCAGTGTGGATAATTAAGATTATATTCTTTCTCTCCTAATGGAGGTCTGCATCTAACAATAAACTGAAAGTGCTTAATTTCATAGAGAAAGCTGCAAGTGTACTGTGATGCTATCATAGAGCTGTCTTTTTCCTTTCAGCTGCAGAGCTCAGTGAGGAATCCTTCCCAACACTTCTGTTGATTTCCAAACTAATGAAGGTAAAGTAGCATCTTGAAAGGATTTATTTCAAAATTATTCTTACACACACACAAAAAAGAGCTTTTGTCTTTCTTTTGCATGATTTTGGCCTCACTATAGAACTTCTGACAACTCTTAATCTACTTTAATGTTTTTCTAGGTTTCACTGGATACCTTGCACATGTCTGCAGCTCGACATGTCTTTGAAAAAAAATTGAAACCAAAAATATTTGAAATGAAGAACACTGGATATACATCAGTTGTTAACAAGGAAACAACTAAAACCGTGCAGACTATTCAGTCATATCTGCTGTCTATAGTTAATCCAGAGTGGGCTGTAGCTATTGCTCACAAGATTGCACAAGAATTTCCAACAGGTAAGGTGCATATGTGATGACTTGAGGGCTGAAGTAATGGGAGAAGGAGAACAGGTTTGAGAAAAGAAAAGCTAGCCTGTAACCAAACATTTTTTCAGTATTCTTGGATAAAACCTGGGGAAGTTTGAGAATAAAAATGCATTTGTCTCCTACATCCAATTTTGAACAGTAGGCTAGAACAACAGCCATTTGATAACACAGCATCTCTGTTAAATTATTTTTTCTCTCTTTTTAAGCCATGTTGTCTTGCTTAAAGTTTCTGCATGTTCATACCATCTTCAGACAAGTTTTCCATCAAAAAAAAAAATTCAGCCAAATTTAAGTTAGCGTCTGTATTATCTGAATCCAAATAGATACTATTTTTTTGCTCTTTAGGTACAAGAGCTTTCCTAATATTTTAAATAGCTTCTAAAATTGTTTTTTAAAATTCTTTGAAATAAAATGGATATTTTCTATACTGTAGAAAGGATTCATGAAAACTTCCTTTATTTACTTCCTCCCCCTGTATTTTTTTTTCTTTAAAAAAGGTCCTGACCAGATTCAGGCATTGAAATTCTGTCTCTATCTAGCTGAAAAATGGCTAAAGAATACTACAGCTAAGGTAATGGTAAACTGATTGCAAAACTGTTGTTTTACAGTGGGGTACTTATGTTAGTGTTTTTCTTTTGTTTTTTTGGCTAGTGGTGTGTAAATTGGACCTTAACCAACCCTGATATGGGAAGTACTTTCTTTTGAGAGGTGACTGTGTAAGTGACCCCTCAGAAGGAACCGTCTCTGTCCAGTAACATTCTGCTGTTCACAACCTAGCAAAAGTTAGGCTTGCAGCTCTTGGAGGTTGAACAAAAAATCATAGCATAGCATAGCATCATTTACATTGGAGAAGACCTTTAAGATCATCCAGTCCAACCATTAAGCTAACACTACCAAGTCCACCACTAAACCAATTAAGGCTAGAGTAATAATTCATTTCATGTTTCCTGGCTTGGTGACTGGAATATTTTTTAAATACAGTTTTAAGGAAGAATAATTTGTTCTTTCTCCTGTTGTGTGCATTTTTCTTGCTGCAGGAGAATGAGTTGGAATCTGTTCCAGCTGTTAGATCAATAGCTTTATTAACTTTTGCTTTGAGTTCCAAGACTCTAGCTATTTGTAGTAGTATCTATAAAGTCTGCTTTGACTTGATTCTCAGGCTCCTTTTTACATGGTTGGTAGGGAA